AACCAAGATACTCATGTAAAGGTACAAGATCCCAATGATGAATGTAACTGTATTTTATACCTAAAATGTACCAATAAACTTAATGGGAAAAAAAGTTATTTGTGATAGACTGACATTAAAGATATCTCTGACATATTCTTTCATTCAGTCAACAAGTATTTATTGAGGTTCTACTATGATATGACTATATCTCCTAGCCAGTGTTCTAGATCCAATATCCAACAGCAAGCAAAATATCAAAATCTAGCCTCATAGAGTCTATCTACATGCCATCATTAAAGTGAAATGAGAATCTGAATAATGTGTAAGCTAATTTATAAAATTCTTCCCCCAATACAAGTGTAAAGTACATCTAGAAAGATATATAGCAAGCCACAAAAGTGATTATTGCTGGGGCTTTTCTAATACCTGCATGGGAGACACAGCAGCGGCTGGAGTGGTCCTCACTGGTATTCCACTTAGAGGACTTCTGGGGGCCTTATGGATGGAAATATTCTGTCCAGTTCCACCTGCCAAGAAAAGAGATTGGTGGAGGGGTTATATATATACATATACACATACACATACATGCACATGGGTTTTAGTTCAAAGTTGCTTGCAAAGAATAATTCTTGATTTGTTGCTACTTTTTGGTGACTTAAATATCCGATGATGTTTAGCATAACATTTACTCTATTAGCCTTTTCTCTTCTGGACTAGAGCTGGATTGGGGAAAAGAGGGGAGGAGTTAGCCAAGTGAGGGGTGGGCTTAGGTATAAGATAAGCAAAGAAAAAGAATGCATATGTAATGCGGTTACTCTGGAGGGAAGTAACAGCAAAGTTCTCCCCAAAGATATTACTGTGGATTCATTTCCTATCTGCACAGGCTGGGTAACTGAGTCTTCCTTTCAACATGAGTAAACAAATCTTAATCTATTTTAGGTGCAAACTAACACAGACAACTAAGTACATTTGAGGATTAGTTATTATTCTAGTTTTCAAATACAATGCATACTTTTTGTAGTTGAGAGACCAGAGATGTTGTTATTGTGGAGAGATGTACATTCTGTTTTTTCTATTTGCTATATCTGTGTGTGTGAAAGTATGGGTACATTTTTCTTATATATGTAAGGTAAGTCTGACTAAAAGGAAACTGAGTCAGACAGACTATTCCATAAAAAGCAGAGAACATACAAGATCAGGAGTAACAGATCAATACAGGAGCTCACACACAAGACTAGGCAGAAAAGTCAAACAGTACATTGCAAGGTTTGGATGGCTGAGGGTGTCAACAAGAGGGCCAAATGCACAGATGTGATGCCTTGTTTCCTAGGAGATAAGGGCTCTGGCCTACCTTGCTAATTTTTAAGAGATGAAAAAAGGGTAAACAGTATTTACTTGTATGTAATGGGTATAAGAGTCAAAAATAGGAAGATGGAGAGGGAGGTACTGGAGTTAGGGAGAAGAGGGAAAAGAAGAGGCCGTATCTGTATTATCCAAGAGACAGACTTCCCACTGTGACTCACTCACTGGAGCCTCTGTCCAGCTCTTGCACCCAGTGGCTGCATGAGGCCTGATCTGAAAGAGCCTTGTGGTTGTATCAATGTGGGGCCAGTGTGGTGCTGAAACAGGACTGAAACATCAGGCCAGCATTTGAATATGGAGCTTTGCTTATGGAAAAAAGTGATTAAATACCTGGGCGTCCCAAGTCAAAAGACTTGATCAGTGACTTAACAGTGGTTGCAGACTCTGAAGGTGCTGGAGACGTTCTGTTGACATAGACACCATGCCACCGGCCAGCAGTGTTGACCTCTAAGGGCTCAGGCTCTTCATTCACAGGTCTGCACAGTAAAGAGCATATCAGATTGAAAAGGTGGAGCAGGTGCGTGTGTGTATGTGTTGTTTGCGGTGGTGGTGGTAGGGTAAGAAATGCAGATGTAAACAGAACCGATATGGAGAAAATATACAAAGCTGAAAAGAAAATCCTAAATTTAAAATTCTAATCAGCTTTGCATCTTTAGGAAATAATGTAGCTACTGTTCTGTTTTCAAAAAAGCTGTTTTCTTAGGAAGTTGCATGCAATAACATGTTTATATGTAGAATACCTTGATATTAGCTCTAAATAAAAATGAGTCTACTCTGCGAATGAGTCTACTCTGCGAATGTTAAAAAATGTTATTTATCATAACCTACTAACTAGCTTGCTAAATATGTATGATAAATACGGTGGATACAATGGATCGGCTGATTGACATGGAACATAATCTGATGTAGGAAAGATGGATTCTTAGCACTCTCCTGCAGCTAGGCTTTCACATGTGATTTAGGTGGGCACCAATCAGAAAGACCTGGGGTGGGACCTGAGTCATGGGGAGAGATAGGGTACAGGGCATTCATTCACTATGTTGATGCAGAGACAGGATGCGTCTGATGCTGACAACTGTGGTTGTAGCTTTCCAACTGGGCAGGTACTGTCTCAACTTTAAGGCTCTTATCATGGTGGAGGCAGCAGGTCCCCTTGTGTCCAGTTCTGTGCTGTGACTTCAAAAAGCCATTTCTAGAAGCTCAGGCTACAGTCTGTTTCTTCAGCCCTCCCAACAATTCTGCAGTCCACTCAATAACGTTTTGCCTAAACTAATTAAAGTGTAATCCATTTTATACAACAGAGTCTTGCCTAGTACAGTTTGCCTTCTAGGACTAAGAATGGTAATTCTGCACGTGGTGAAATGTACTTTCAACTAAATTTTCTGGTGTTTTTTGTGTGGTGTCTAAATTCCAGCACAAACTCGAGTTTTTAAAGACAGATCATGTGATTCAATCCTTTCATGCGTGGCTTCCTCATCTAGGGAACATGTCATTTAATCTCTTTGTGAATAAGCCAAGACAAGAACTCTCAACCTTCTGATTGCTAAGTAACTGCTCTTTTTATTATATCATATTACCACAGCTGTTCTGGAAGATGACTTATTTATGAGAATGGCTCAAATAGAATACTTCTGGCAGCTATTTCAGTAAGGTCAGTGGAAGTTTAAAATATTTATTTCCTGATCTTTTTGAAATTAATCTAGCTACTCTTGAGTGTCTACAGTTGAAGAAATTTGCCCTTAATTCTCTCAGCTTTCTTCTGTTGCTCTGCAATCAACACAAACAGAATAAATTTAAGTGAAGCAAAATTTAAAATAAACTACTCAGCTTTACACTCCTGACTCCATAGCTCTTTCTTCTAAGTGGAAAAAAATCAACAAATTGAAAAATCAGAAGAAACTATAAGGCATTTCTGAAACTAGGTGGTTGGGTTTTTTAAAAGCTTTTTTGAAGGTTTATTGACAGGAGTTGGGGTTTTGCACCCCCTTTGTATTGCACATTACAGAATCAGACAGTGAGCTGGGCGTAATGGTACAACCTGTAATCCCAGCTACTTGGGAGGCTAAGAGATCACTTGAGCCCAGGAGCTCAAGGCCAGCCTGAGCAACACAGTGAGACCTTTATCTCAACTTAAAAAGAAAAACAACAGATGATGAAAATGTAGAAAAATAATGAAATGAAATCAAGTCCAAAACAACAACAAAAAAACTATTTCTGTGCCAGTTATTCTCAGGAAAGTCATGAACAAAGAAAGGAGACCACCTTCTTATGTGTCCCGCTAAATGACTTGGTACCAAAGGGCCTCCGAAAGATCATTTTTATAAACTAATTTAAATTTTATCCTTGTTAATTTAATAATAGAGGATCCTACATGCTAAGGTGTTCCTTTTAGTTATTTAAGTTTCTCTGTGACTCAAAACATTAACTGATAAATAGGAAGACTAATTTAGACTTCGCAAGAAAATAGCAAGACTACAAAAATTAATTTCTAGGACTCCTGCCTTCAGACATCTGAAGATAATATTTCAATTCATCACTCAGTTGCTTAGCTAGAACAGTAAGAGTCAGGATGAGGTAACTATGTTTTATAATTTAAACATATATATGTATATGTCTGCAATTACTTTTTCTTTTAAATTTTTCATTTAATTCATTGCTTTTATTTCTGGTTAGAGTCTTCAAGTAGTGTTGATTTTCTATAGCATTCACTTCATCAAGATGCTATTTGTGCTAGCCTATGGTGGAACATTCCTATAATCCCAGCTACTGGGGAGGCTGAGGCAGGAGGATCACAAGTTCAGGGATAGCCTGGACAGTTTAGCAAGACCATGTCTCAGAATGGGGTGGGAGGCACAATAGGTCATGAGAGAGCATTTGCCTAGCATGTGAGAAGCCCTAGGTTTAATCCTCAGTACAGGAGATAGGAGACGATGATACTTATCATCTATTTTGATTCAAGTACAGGTAGGCTCTTGTACAAGATGATTTCTAAAGTATTCACTGGTTATCTCTACTTAGGAAACATTTCACTGTATCACTGCTACCCTCATAACTGGTAGATTTTTATGTATCAAGAGGACTGGGTAACCCCATGCTTATAACTGCTGGGCTCTTGAACAATGGAATGAAGCCCAGCTCCAGGTCTCTTCCAGGGTCACTGATGTTACTTCCTTTAACTTCCCTCTACCCATCGAGGTACTGAATTTTGTTCCTTTTATATCCTGCTTCTGTGCCTTTGCTCATTCTATGCCTTTACCAGGAATGTAATTTTTTCAGAATACTATACACAAAATAAATCAAAGTTTATCACTTTACTGTGAATAAATATGAAACATTCTGCCTCTTAGGTGTCAAAGAGTATCTTCTGAATCTCACTTCTAAATTTCAATACTAGACTATACATACTAACATGGTAAGATGGCAATTTGAACACAAACATCTTAATTTCCAAATCCCAACAAAAAGAATCAAAGAGCAAAAAATTCTTGGATCATCAATGGAAACTAGAGAAGGGTACCATCTATAGGGTACAGGCTTTGAAGAATTTCTGCTACATAGAAAGTAAGTGGGAGGTTAGGGTGGAAGGAAAATACTAAGGTTATGTTCCACAGTTTCCTTTCCCTAATGTCTCCTCTATGTTAGAGGGCCAGGGATAGAGAGAAGAATGAAGGCAGAGAGCATGCAGCATATCTCTGCAAAGGATCCAAGGAGCCTGGGGCTGGGTCATTCAGGCACAAAGGGCAGGAACAACAAGAAGTCAGAAAGAGCCACAGAATGTACCTAAGGCGAACAATGGATTGAAGAAAAGCAGACCCAGGAAGCTGGCTCCTGTGTTCCAATTTCTTCTGCTAACCATCTACTCCTGCTATACTCTATCTGAACTTTAGTTTACCTTAAAGAACCTTCCCACTAGTTTAAGAGAAAATTCGAAGCATCAGCAGGCAAAGAGGATATAACTAAGCAAAACCTAGATATTTATCTTGGGCAAATGACCAGCCTTGACATACTTTGATCTATTTAACCAAGAATCAGTAAATGAGTAAAAGCATGCCCTGATATTAAAAAAAACTTTTTAAAATTTTGATCTATGAAAATATTTCATAACATAAAATGAGAAGAGTAATGACATTCAAGAGAGAACAAGCATTGGTAAATTAATGACAAGAAACAGACACTTGATATAATCTACTTATAAAATTCAATAAAATATGAAAAAATAGATGAAAGACAATTTAACATGAAAAGCTAAATTTAAAAAATAATATAGGCAATATAATAATACCATTAAAATATTTTGAAGCAGAACTAACTAAAAAGAACAAAAAAAGAAGTATATTTGGGAAGGTCTCTCTGAATATAGATAAAATAAACAATGAAAAGGAGTTGATAATAAATGATGCTGGCCTGAATGGCTACCCACTTGGATGAAAAAAGAACCACATCTCACATTACAAAGGCAGATCAAATGTCTGGGAGTGTCTGTGTGCACATGTGTGTCAAACAGATAAAATCCAATAGATGGTTTCATAATATTGGGGGAGGGAAAGCCTTGAACAAAAACAAAAGCTCTTGAAAACAATAAAGGAAAATACAAACAGATCACATTATATAAGGCTGGGGGTGTAGTTCAGTGGTACAGCATTTGCCTCACATGGACAAAGATCTCAATCTCCAGCACTGAAAAATAAATATTCTATATAACAATATAAAAATTCCAATGATAAAAGCAAAATATTAACAACATACTGGGATCAGAAATACTGACTTATACACTGGTAAGAAAAAAATAATCAGCTCAGTAAAAAAAATAGGCAAAAGTGCTAATAAATTAGCAATTCTTGTAAGACGAGGTCCGTGTATTCAGGGTGGTATGGCCATATGGACTACCAATTCTTGTAAGAGAAAATGCAAATGGCTAGTAAACAGATAAAAATATGTGCATCCATGCACATTAAGTGCTAATGAGATAGTATTTTATTTTTTTGCTTGTTACTGGCAAAAATAACATTAATAATATCACAGCTACTAAAGCTAAGTAAGTGGGCACTTTCACCAAGAGTAACATCACAACCCTAAGGTAAGTAATCTGGCAACATCTATTAAAATAAAAACATGCATATTCTCAAATGTATCAACCATAGTTTTAGGAACTCATCCTATAAAAACAAAAACAGGCCGGGGATTTAGCTCAGTGGTTTCACTGGTTCGATCCCTGGTACCAAAAAAAACAAAACAAAACAAAACAACAAAGGGACTAGGAGGGTAGCTCAGTAGTAGAGTGTGTGCTTAGCATACTTGGGGCCCTGGGTTCAATCCTCAACACCAAAAAATGACTAATTAAACTAATACAAACACAACTATATAAGGCAATGTTAATATGCATTATTACAATCTCATTATCAATAAAGGAAGAAAAATTAAGGTAATATATGAATATGCTTGGGTACACTGCAGAATACTACACAGCTGTCAAAAT